AGACAATTAGGAATAGTGCTACCTCAAGTGCTACCAGCTATACCATTCCTAGGCATATATCCAATATATGGTTAAGTATATAACAAGGAAATTTGCTCAACCATGTCCATAACAGCTTTATTGTAATAGTCAGAAGCTATTTCACTCAATGGATAAATGGAAATCATGAACTTTGCAGGCAAATGGTAGGATCTAGAAAAGATCATCCTGAGTGAGGTATCCCAGAAACAGAAAGACACGCACGTATATACTCACTTATAAGTGTATATTAAACATATAATATAGGATAAACCTACAAAAATCTGAACACCTAAAGAAAGCGAGCTAGAAGGAGGATCCTGAGTAAGACGATCAATCCCCACTCAGAAAGGCAGACGGGAGGGGCTTTGGAAGAAGGAGAAAACAGGAAACAGGACAGGAGCCTTCCACAGAAGGCCTCTGAAAGACTCTACCAGCATTGTATAAAAGCAGGTAATGAGACCCAGCAGGGTATTAAAGCAAATGCTGAGACTTATAGCCAAACTTTGGGCAGAATACATGGAATCTTATGAAAGAAGGGGAATATGCAAAGACCTGGAGGAAACAGGAGCTCCACAAGAAGAGCAACAGAACCAAAATATCTGGACACAGGAGTCTTTTCTGAGACTAGTACTCCAACTAAAGACCGTTCATGGATGTAACTTGCAACCTTTGCACAGATGCAAGCTATGGCAGCTCAGTTTCTTATTGGCTTCCTTAGTAAGGTGAACAGGGGCTGTCTCTGACATGAACTCAGTGGCTGGCTCTTTGATCACCTCCCCCTGATGGGGGAGCAGCCTTTAACAGGCCACAGAGGAAGACTCTGCCGACAGTTCTGATGAGACCTGATAGGATGGGGTCAGATGGAAGGGGAGGAAGACCTCCCTTATCAGTGGACTAGTGGAGGGGCATGGGAAGAGAAGAGGGAGGGAGGATGGTACTGGGAGTCCATGAAAGAGGAGGTTACAGCTGGGATACAAAGTGAATAAATTGTAATAAATCTTAAAAATATTTAAAAATTAAATATTAAAAAGTAAAAAAGTAGAAAAAAGAATGGATAGAACTTGTGGTACTTTTACACAATGGAATACTACTCAGCTATTAAAATTAGAAAATCATAAAATTTTCAAACAAATGGATGGAACTAGCAAAGATCATCCTGAGTAAGGTAACCCATTACCAGAAAGACACACATGGAATATATGCAGTTATAAGATACTAGCCATGTACTACAGAACAATAATACTACAGTCCACAGACCTAAAGAAGCTAAGTGACACGGAGGACCCTAGGGAGGATGGTCAGTTCTCATTTGGAAGAGCAAATAGTATAGACACAGGAAGCACTTGAAGAGAGGGAAAAAGGTGGGAGCAAATCATAGATGTTCTCTGAAAGACTCCAATCAGTGGAGCATTGGAGCAGATGCTGAGGCTCACAGCCAAACTTTGGACAGAGTGTAGGGAGTCTTATGGAAGGGGAGCGGGGGTGGGAAGAAGCACTGGAGGAGACAGGAACTCCACAAGGAAACCAACATATCCACCAACTCTTGGATCAGGGTTTTCTGTAGGACTGGTGCACCAACCAAGGACTGTGCATGGAGGTGATTTGGGACATCTGCAACTTATTTTCCATGGAAGTTGCCTATTAGGGAGAGCAGGGGCTGTCTCTAACATGGACTCTGTTGCCAGCTCTTTGATTACTTCTCCCTTTGCAGAGAGACCTTTCGAGGCCACAGTGGAAGAGGGTCCAGACAGTTCTGATGAGACTTAATAGGCTGGGATCAGATAATAGGTGAGGAGGGCTCCTTTCTGAAGGCTAGAGGAGAGTGAGGGGGATGAGGGAGGGAGGAATGGTAGAACTGGAAGGAGAGGAGAGAGGAAGAGAGGAGAGAGGGGGCTTTCTTTTTTTTTTAAATATTAGTTACAGTTTATTAACTTTGTATCCCAGCTGTAGCCAGCTCCCTCATTCCCTCCCAACCCCACCTTCCTTCTTTCTCTCCTCCCTGCCCCTTTCCAAGTCCATTGATCAGAGAGATCCTCCTTCCCTTCCATATGACCTTAGCTTATCAGGTATCTTCAGGACAGGCTGCTGATTCCTCTTATGTGGCCTAGCAAGGCTGCTCCTCCCTCGGGGAGAGGGGGGACTGGACGAGTCAAAGAGCCAGCAATTGAGTTCACATCAGGAATAGTCCCTGTTCCCCTTACTAGAGAACCCACTTGGATACTGGGCTACCATAGGCTACATCTGAACAGGGTTCTAGGTTATATCCATACATGGTCCTTAGTTGGAGATACAGTCTCATAAAAGACCCCTATGCTCATATATATTTGGTCCTTGTGAAGCTCCTGTCCTCTCCAGGTCATACTAACTCCCCCTTCTTTCATATGATTCCCTGCACTTTGCCGAGGGCTTCGTTATTAGTCTCAGTATCTGCTTTGATACACTGCTAGGTAGAGCCTTTCAGAGGCCCTCTGTGGTAGGCTCCTGTCCTGTTACTTGTTTTCTCCTACACCCAATGTCCATCTCCTTTGTCTTTCTAAGTGAGGATTAATCATCTTACCCCAGGATCTCTTTCTTCTTTATCTTCTTTAGGTGTACAGATTTCAATGTTTATCCTTTCTTATAGGTCTAGTACCCACTTATAAGTATATACCTTGTGTGTCTTTGTCCTTCTGGGATACCTCACTCATGATGATCTTTTCTAGATCCCACCATTTGCCTGCAAATTTCATGATTTCCTTGTTTGGAATTGCTGAGTAGTATTCCATTGTGTAAAGTACCACAGTTTCTCTGTAGAAGAATATAGAATGGCAGAGAAACACTTAAAGAGACCTTCAATGTCCTTAGCCATCAGTGAGATGTAAATCAAAGTGACCCTGAGATTTCACCTTACATCCATCAAAATTGCTAAGATCAAAAACTCAAGTGACGACACATGCTGGAGAGGTTGTGGAGAAAGGGGAACGCTCCTCCATTGCTGGTGGAAATGTAATCTTGTAAAACCACTTTGGAAATCAATCTGGCACTTTCTCAGAAGATCAGGAATAGCACTTCCTCAAGATCCAGTGTTGGTATAATGTTCTTTTGGAATGATACATTTTACCCTTATTCATTCAAATGCTGATTTCTCTCCCCCACACTCTGATTTCAATCCGGACATTGAATTGTGATATTTATTCTAAGCATCACCTGTCTCAACTTTGTGTAAACATGCCAAAATAAACAACTAGCCACAATATTGAACAAGAGAAGGAAGCAGGAAAAGGGGGCAAGCCAAAGGAGAAGAGAGAGGAGAGGAGCCAGAGGACAGGAAAAGAGTGGGAGGCAAAAAGGGTAGGGGCAGAGCTAGGAGAGGAGGCTGGAGGAGAGATCTTGGAATAGCATGGAAAGATGGACTGGACCTAATATATCACTAAAACAAGTATAATTGTGGGAAATCTGAATGTTAGGAAACTATGAGGGCTTGGAGGTTTAAGATGGACTAACTATTGCCCAGCATTGTGTTCTAGGTTAAGTAAATAAATCCCAGTCTCTGTGTGGTAATTTGACTATACAGCTGTTTAGGATTAACAAGAGCTTTACCAGAAGATATATCAATAGCAAATCTTAAAAACAACAATCCAGCTATACCACTCCTAGGCATATATCCAAAAAATGTTCAAGTACACAACAAGCACATTTACTCAATCATGATTATAGCAGCTTTATTCATAATAGCCAGAACCTGGAAACAACCCAGATTTCCATCAACAGAGAGGTAGCTTTCAATTGGCATATAAAGTGAATAAATTATAAAAATAATTTTATATAAAAATTAATACATAAATAAACCAAGCACAAGAAACAAAAAAACAACAACAACAACAAAAAAAAAAAAACCCCACACACAAAACACTAGATTTCATAGTAATTGTTTTCATTCTATTGCTGAGGAAGTAGAAATAAACAGTTCCCTGGGGCTACCTATCTAGCAAGCCTAGTCTACTGGATACATTTCAGTCCAAGTAAAAGACCTCGTTTCATAAAAAAGGTAAACGTGTGTGGGTGTTTGTGTACCTGCATACTTATGTACATGCACAAAAACATAGACATACACACACGCATGCATGGATACCCCTACACACAAAAGCAAGCACCTGTAAAACAATTGAACATGTACACTTTTATGAAGAGACACATACATACATGGATGCAGAAATACATGAAATTGCACATATATGCACTCATGCACACCCAAACCAAACAAAAATAAGTGCTAATGAGGAAATGGAATATTAAAACATTCATATATTTTTACTAAGACTTTAAAATAAAAGGGTATGATTTTATTGTCACACAAAAATTTTACTCCTAAAGATAAGTAAAAACACATGTTGAGACATGATTGTTCACCACTGTTGTAATAGCACTTTTCATAATAGGTGAAAAATTATCTATAAATATCTATCAACTGATAAATGGGAAAAGAAAATACAGTTACCACAAGATAGAATATTATTCAACCATGAAATAAAGTAGTAATCCATGTCTCAACAAAAATTAAAATGTATATAATATTTTTAAAAAGCAAGATGTATAAAGCCAAGGTTACCCTGATCTCATTTTTTTTAATTGTTCAGAACAAAGACATGCAGAAAAAGGTTAATGGATCTGGAGGCACATAAGAGGACATGAGCAGTGATTGTTGATTTTTGAAAGGTTTTTCTAGAGTAGTGGTTCTCACTCTTCCTAATGTTGCAACCCTTTAATACAGTTCCTCATGTTATGGTGATCCCCAAGCATAAAATTATTTCTGATCCTACTTCATAATGTAATTTTTCTACTGTTATTAACTATAAATATATGATAATCAGGATATCTGATATCTAAAAGGATTGTTAAACCCTGAATGGATCATGACTCAAAGGTTGCAAAACACTGTTCTAAAGGGTGAGAGTAGTAATATTTGCACAAAACTGTGAGGATATAAAAGCCATTGAAATCCACAGTGTTGACTTCAGTTCAAGCAGCCTTCTACTCTGTGAATTAAACTTTGTGGCACTGAAATTGGCTGAGCGAAATAACTAAATAGTGTTACTCTATTCATATACTTCTAACCTACACAAATAAGTAAATATGTAGATAAATACATAGCTAGCTATCTAGTTAGATAGATGGATGGATAGATAGATAGATAGATAGATAGATAGATAGATAGATAGATAGATAAAATGAGACATGCAGAGTAAATTGAGACACGCAGAGTTCCACCTGCTATGTGTCCTACTCACATTGGGAGCCACTATGATATACAAGGACAGAGAGGAAAGAGAGGCAGAACAGTTTGAGTACTATGAAGAGAGGAGGAACTAGAGAAGTGAGGGTTGGAGAGGAATGGCATGTCTTGTATTCCTGTTCTACCATCAGACACCATACAGGAGTCCCAGTCCATCTTGTCCCTGAAGGCTATATCTGGGCCCCAAGGCTTTGCCTCAGTAGAGGTCAGTGTTGAAGTTCCTGGGCCATATTATTGCTAAAGACCATGTTTATATCCCTGATCCAGGGGCTGTGCAGAACTAGACCTTCCCCTTATTGGCTGCAGCACTTGGGAGGTGACAGGGGAATGAGATAGTAGGCCTCTAGTATGTGAGCCTAGGAGAGCTGGCCCTTCATCTTCTCAGGTTGTGGGGGCTCATAAATGCCTCTTTCCAACCACCTCTTACCACCTGGGCAATAGGGATATCTGAACAATTGAAAATAGTCAAGTAGTGAAATTTATATCATAGAAATTTTATTTCAATTTTAGAACAATATAACAACATCAAAAATATTTTTAAAATGTTAAATTGTTTTATGTATGTTGACTACTCAGTATGAAAGTCTAAAATTTTCTCTTGTCCGATATCTGAGTCACAAATATAACTACATTTTTTTTTTTTTTTTTAGTTTTAACACACTAGAATGCAATTGATAAGGAAAATGTTTTTGACTTTGTTTTTTTTTTGTCAAGGAAAATCTATGCTTTGGGCTAAGATGAGGAATTTTAAAATCACTTAATGCTGATAAAGTAGACACGTGAACACTTCTCTGAATTCTTCTTTTTGTTAGCTACATGGTAGAACAAAAATGCATAGAGTAGAATCTTGCTCTTCAGTGTGTGGTGCACAGCAAAGTCGGGCATCAAAAGCTGGGGTACTCTCAAAGTCCACCGCACACCCACTGACCTAAATGTGCATTTAGACAAGATCTCCAGGTCATACTTATATAAAATGGTTAGAAAGGCAGTTCTGTGTTGATGATCCTTGTTATGTGGAAAAGGTGGAATGTAAATTCAAGACTTTATTTGATAAAGGTTATCATTTTTCTCCTTTGTCTAATATGCTGTCTTTAGAGGAAAGTGGTCATTTATAACTTTCCATTTATCCATTAAGGTGATGTCTACAGAACGGAAAATGAATATCACTTAACAAATGATGGCCATCTGCATGCTGTAAGTCCATTTTCATGATGGAAATTTTAGGAGGAAGATTTGCCTCAGGGTAAAGCTTATTTTCTTTCCTAAATATGTGTATTTTTACCAATTTGTTTTTAATTCTTTAATCATACATACCTGATTCATCTGTCTTCATCACTTCTATAATATCTGCTTTAACAATACCTCTTAAAATAACAAGTAAGTTCTTTTAATATGTATATTTCATTACAAATTACACAACCAAATTATATCCTGCTTTGAATGTTGTAGAATCATCATTGATTCCTGAGTCTTGGGAAAAATTCTGCTTACACAGGTGGTAAAATTTAGTAGGCAGCATTTACATTATTTCATGCATATGTCTGTCTGCTTCATTGTTTTGATTTACTGTATTATTATTATTATTATTATTATTATTATTGTTGTTGTTGTTGTTGTTTTAAATTTTTTAACTTTGTATCCCAGTTGCAACCCCTTCTCTCATCTCCTCCCAGTCCCACCATTCCTCCTTCTTCTCTCCTATCCCTTTTCCCTAGTCCATTGTTAGGGGGAAATCCTTTTCCCCTACTGTCTGACCCTAGCCTATCAGGTCCCATCAGGACTGCCTGGATCCTCTTCTTCTATGGGCTGGCTAGGTCTTCCAACCAGGCCAAAGAAGTGATCAGAAAACAGGCAACTGAGTTCATGTCAGAGACTATCTCTTCTCCTCTTACTAGGAGACCCACATGGAGACTGAGCTGTCTAAGGACTACATCTGAGCAGGGGCTCTAGGTCCTCTCTATGCATGGTCTTCGGTTGGTACATCACTCTTTGCAGTAGTCTCCCCTCCCCTTTTGGATTTGTTGATCTCCTGTAGGGCTCCTGTTCCCTCTGGGTCCTTCTATATACCCCTTCCACAGAACTCCCTGAGCTCTGCCCACTTTTGGCTGTGAGTCTCTGCATCTGCTTTGAACTCCTACTGGGTGAAGTCTTTAAGAGGACATCTGTGGTAGGTTCCCCTCATGTCTCCTCTCTTCTAGAGCTTCTGGTGTCTAACATGTTTTCCTTTTGAATGAGAATTAAGCATCTTTCCTAGGTTCCTCCTTGTTGTTTAGTTTTGTTAGATCCATAGATTTTAGAATAAACCAAATAACCTAATAAAAAAATAAAGTAGAGACCTAACCAGAGAATTCTCAGCAAAGGAATATAGAATGTTGGAGAAACACTTAAAGAAATGCTTAATGAATGTCCTTAGTCACCAGGAAAATGCAAATTAAAATGGTTCTGAGATTCCATCTCACACCCAAGAGTGCCTAAGATCAAAAACTCAAGTGACAACACATGCTGGAGAGGATATGGAGAAAGGGGAACATTCCTCCATTGTTGGTGAGAATGTAAACTTGTACAATTTGAAAATCAATCTGGCACTTTCTCAGAAAACTGGGAATAGTGCTACTTCAAGACCCAGCTATCTCACTCCTGGGCATTCAAAAGATGCTCAATCATAAAACAAGGGCATTTGCTCAACTATTTTCAGAACAGCTTTATTTGTAATAGCCAGACTATGGAAACAACCTAGATTTACCTCAACTGAATAATGGATAAAGAAATTGTGGTCCATTTATTCAGTGCAGTACTACCCAGATATTAAAAATAAGGAAATCATGAAATTTTCAGGCAGATGGATAGAACTAGAAAAGATCATCTTGGGTGAGGTAGCCCAGAATCAGAAACACATACATGGTATACTCACCTATAAGTGGATATTAGTCATATAATATAGGATTTCTGTATTTTAAAGAAAGGCTTCATTTTAAATTCTCAAAGACTGTATATTCAAACACTTTCACTGTGGTTGAGATTTTTTTTTAATTTTTTATTTAACTTTTACTAATTACACTTTATTCATTTTGTATCCCCCCATAAGCCACTCCCTCCTCCCCTCCCGATCCCACCTTTCTGCATGCATGCCCCTCCCCAAGTCCACTGATAGGGGAGATCCTCCTCTCCTTCTTTCTGATCTTAGTCTATCAGTTCTCATCAGAAGTGGCTGCATTGTCATCTTCTGTGGCCTGATAAGGCTGCTCCCCCTCAGGGGGAGGTGATCAAAGAGCAGGCCAATCAGATTATGTCAGAGGCAGTCCCTCTTCCCATTATTATGTAACTCACTTGGACACTGAACTGCCATGGGCTACATCTGTGCAGGGGTTCTAGGTTATCTCCATGAATAGTCCTTGGTTGGAGTATGAGTCTCTGGAAAGACCCTTGTGTTCAAATTTTCTTGTTCTGTTGCTCTCCTTGTAGAGTTCCTGTCCTCTCCAGCTCTTGCTATTTCCCACTTCTTACCTAAAATTCCATTCACTCTGCCCGACAGTTGGCCATTAGGCTCAGCATCTGCTTTGATAGTCTACGGGGTAGAGGCTTTCAGAGGCCCTCTGTGGTAGGTTCCTAGGTTGTTTCCTGTTTTTTTCTTCTTCTGATGTCCATCCTCTTTGCCTTTCAGGATGGAGATTGAGCATTTTAGTTAGGGTCCTCTCTTTTGCTTAGTTTGTTTAGATGTACAAATTTTAGCGGGTTTATTCTATGTTGTATGTTTATATGAGTGAGTATATACCGTGTGTGTCTTTTTGCTTCTGGGACAACTCACTCAAGATGATCCTTTCCAGATCCCACCATTTACCTGCAAATTTCATGATTTCCTTATTTTTCATTGCTGAGTAATACTCCATTATATAGATGTACCACAATTTCTGCATCCATTCTTCAGTTGACGGGTATCTGGGCTGTTTCCAGCTTCTGGCTATTACAAATAAAGCTGCTACAAACATGGTTGAGCAAATGTCCTTTTTGTGTACTTGAGCCTGTTTTGGATATATGCCTACGAGTGGTATGGCTGGATCTTGAGGAAGCGCTATTCCTAGTTGTCTGAGAAAGCGCCAGATTAATTTCCAAAGTGGTTATACAAGTTTACATTCCCACCAGGAGTGGAGAAGGGTTCCCCTTTCTCCACAACCTCTCCAGCATGTGTTGTCCCTTGAGTTTTTCATCTTGGCCATTCTGATGGGTGTAAGGTGAAATCTCAGGGTTGTTTTGATTTACATTTCCCTAATGGCTAATGAGGTTGAGCGTTTCTTTAAGTGCTTCTCTGCCATTCGATATTCCTCTACAAAGAGTTCTTTGTTTAGCTCTGTTCCCCATTTTTTAAGTGGATTACTTGGTTTGCTGCTTTTCAGCTTCTTTAGTTCTTTATATATACTGGATATGTGTCATCTGTCAGATAAAGGATTGTTAAAGATTCTTTCCCAATCTGTAGGCAGTCGCTTTGTTTTGATGATGGTGTCCTTTGCTTTACAGAAGCTTTTCAGTTTCATGAGGTCCCATTTATTGATTGTTGCTCTTAGAGCCTGTGCTGTTGGTGTTCTGTTCAGGAAGTTTTCTCCTGTACCAATGAGTTCTAGCCGATTTAATGTGTCTAGTTTTATGTTGAGGTCTTTGATCCACTTGGACTTCAGTTTTGTGCAGGGTGATAAGTATGGATCTATTTTCATTTTTCTACATGTAGACATCCATTTAGACCAGCACCATTTGTTGAAGATGTTATCTTTTTTCCGTTGTATTGTTTTGGCACCCAGTCCTTCCCTGGAAAAAGTCTCGCAGACCGGCGGGGCCAAG